ATGGACACGAAAACATTCTGCAGTGAGAAGAGTGCAACTGCGGGTCTTTAGTGGAATGACCCGTAGTTAACGAATCTGGATTAACTCGGTCAATGAGTTTGATTGATTAATCTTGCATCGTTGGAGCTTCAGATCTGTAAGTCCATTAGGTCCCCTTGCTAGCTCATAACGGGTAAAACGAGGATCAAATTTTTTGGAAGAATTTGAATTGTTCAAATTACTTAAGGGATTATATGTATATTGATACATTATAATATATATATATAGTTAATTGTAAATTAAAACTATATATTATGAGAGATATTATTTGAATGAGATCCAAATAAAATTAATATGAATGAGATTCATATTAAAACTATAGGTTCAAAATAATGTGCATAAGATGTACATTAAAACTATAGGTTATACGAGAGAAATGTTTTAGAATATGATTCTAATTTTATAATAAATGATTAAGTGTTAATTATTTATGTATATATATATTTATTAATTATTAATTGGATTAATAATTAATTATATTAATTAATTTGATTAATTAATTATATATATATATATATTAATTATTATATATATATTATAATTATTATTATATTATATATATATATATTAATATTAATATTAATAATAATATTATTATTATTAATATTAAATTCCCCTGCAAAATTGTAGGGGAGTGGGAGATTTTGTGACGTGGGAAGTTACCCCACGTCACCCTTGTTCTTCTTCAAGAGTTGGGGAATGGAAAGACAGAAGGTTACAGAACAGAAAAACCTCCAACGATTTCTCTCAAACTCTCTCAACCTCTCCCTCTCTTCGATTAAGGTGCTACCACAAGCACGATCCCGAGACCCAAGAGGATAGCGAGTAAGATCCGGTGGTGGTGTTCGAGGGGAATTCACTGAAGAAATGATCTTTAAAGGTTTGAATTCCCTCTGTATTTTCCCTCTGTAAAATTCAATTTTGTATCCCGAAAATCAGCAACGAAAGTCCGCTTCCGCTCCAGGATTCACATCCCTTCAGAGCTGACGTGGACGATACTGAAGTGCTCACAAGTGAACTTGCACAGGGAACAAAACACTCCGACACCAAAGTCAGTACGAGCTCAGAAGTTTTAGGTCGTTCTCAGAGAGAATTGCATACCTAGTTTGTGGGCCGAGTGTCCCTTTTATAGGCAGGCGGGGGGAGACAAGACCGTTAGGTTGTTACGACATGCTGTTACGGCTGTCGAGCCCCCAGGTCGGTGGTTGGATCTGAGGTCAGAATCCTCAGGTCGGCTAAGTTCATTCCCTCCCCTCAACTCGGTCGCGAATGTCGAGTTCCGACGGTTTGTTCGTCATGTTACCATTGTACCGAACTGAGCATGTGTTTACACGTGTCAAGTTGAGTTTTGACCACCAACCATAGTTATTTTAGTCATACAATAATATGTATCAAATAATTAATACCTTGCTTTTGTGTATAATCACAACCACTAATCCAACCTTAAAATTTTTAATTGAACCATCTAGTCTTATTTTTCTTCTAGGGATCCATTTACACCTACCCATGTCTAATTCATAACACCACTAGTCCAACCTCAAAATTTTAGATTTAAAGGAAAAAAACTGACAAAACTTTTTTTATGATCAAACTTTCACATTTGTGTTATTTCAATTGATGAATACATCTAATTATTTATTTGAATATTTTTTATACTTTTATTTTTAAACATTATTTAACCATTAAAAAACTATAACTCATTATTAATTATATAGTTAAAGGTAAAGTCATTAATTTTTACAAATAAATTGACAATAATTTTATTAAAACTTTTTTGTTTTTTTTCTTCATTTTAACTTAAATAAAGTATTAAAATATCAAATAAAAAAAAAGGAGAGAGAGGGGAGGGGTGGGGAGAGAGGGATAGAGAAGGAAGAGTTAATTAGTGCTGGAATTTGAGAAAATTTGGAGAGATAAATGAGTGAAGTTAGGGAGAGACTCATTAGGGAGAGAATTGAATGCCAAAAATGCCATTAAAATAATTAAAAAAACGTTAAAATAAAAGGGGAAAATAGGGAGATAAAATTCTCCTATTGATTTATATTATAATATCATGCAATTTAACATATCTTTTGTTTTCTAGAAAACAATCGTTTGTTTGGATCCATCTCGACTCTCATGACACCAAGCTGTCACCAATTTTCTTTAGTACAACATGTGAGGGTGGAGATCGAACTCACCATCTTTTAGTTTGAAATATATGTCAATTATYTCTAAGTTATATTCGTTTTGACTAGATGTCACCAATTTATTAATACTTTTGTGCCCACTAAATAATACAAGTCCGGTTAATCTTCATTCTTATACTATTTCCATTCATCCATTTTATGCTACGATACTTTTAATATCCTTTGTGTTGGTCGTTAAATTTTACAAAAATACTAGCTAGGTTTTGGTCCTCATTGTTAAACTTCTATATTGTAAAATCTTGAGCATATCCAGTTCCAAATTTGATTATAGACTCCAATCTACGTCCTTAAATAGACAATATGAAATTTCTGGTAGGTGTGGCAAAGTTTTATTATATGTAATTTTAGGTTTTCCAACCGATGATACTAAGAATGTGATATAAATTAAAGAACATTAGGAATTATAACGACTCATTTAATTACTATTTCATTTTCTGTTTTTTGTTTTTGATTTTTAGGTCTTGAAAAACAAATTTTTTTTATAAGAAATTCAATTTTGTATTTTTTTTATTTTCATAAACGATATTGAAATTCGATGTAAATTTCAAAAACAAAAAAGATTTTTTTTCTTTGACATATTTATCTCTAACAAATTTATCTCGGTTTAAAATTTATTTCTTCATAAATATCTCTCTAAAAAAATTAATTTTCTCTCGGTAAACTTTTAATGCTTTAAATATTTATTATTATTTTCCCAAAATTTTCATCTCTGATGTGTCTATTTTTTCCTTTTTTTCCCCAACATATTACCCTCATTTATATGTTTAAAAATTTAATATTTTTTCAAGCTTTTATTTCTCTAAAATTTCGTTAGTTTTTTTAACTTTTTTTTCTCTTCTTAATCTATTTTTCGTTTGAAAATTATATCTTCTTTTCTCATTCAATTTTCTTTCAACTTTTATTTCTCTTTGTATTTATCTATTTTTCTAAAAAGTATATTTTTGAATTTTTTTTATCTGTAAATTTTTTTCTCACTATAATTTTTCTTTTTCTTTCTAATTTATTTTTTTTGTTTAAACATATTTTCCTCTAAATTGTACTCTTTTTCTCTCAAAATTTTCTCATTTTAACTTTTAACTTTTTTTTTTTTACTATTTTTTTTCTAAATCTTTGTCTTTATCTATCTAAAATTTCTATTTCAAAAGTTTATTTCCATTTCTACAAATCTGTATTTTCATGTTTAATTTCTCTAAACATGTAAGGGTCAGGTTCTTGCTCCATAATAGGATATGCATGTCTGGACTCCCTCCCTGATTCTATTTTTTAAATAATTAATATCATATTTTATTCACATATTTATTAAATTGTGAATAAAATATTAAATATTTTTAAAACTAATTATTTATACTAGTAAATAATAATTATAAAAATAATTAATATATATTTATTACACTTTTTATTTTCTAAATTCTGAAAATAATTAAAATTAATTATAAAACCGACCATTTTTATATCGTAAATATCATCATCCCCAAATAAGGATTCTTATACTTGGATCTGGATTCCTCGATTGAAGAACGAGGTGGAAAAAGGGGATTAAAAATTTTCAGAAGTACGAGAATGGGAGAGGCACCATCATTCTTTTCATCTCTATTCTATATATAATTTTTTCTCTCTAATATATATTTTAAATTTTCTAACCTTTTAAAAACAGAAAACAAAAAATGTTACCAAACATTATGCTTTTTAAAAATAAAAAATAAAAAACAGTTATCAAACATGTACGAAAGAAAAATAAAACCTAAAAACACAAAACAGAAAAACCAAAAAGCAAAAATAAAAATCGTTGCCGAAGGGCCAAAAAATGCAGGATGGACAAAGAAGACTAACAATCATTCTCTTGACTACTTTATAGCTATTTCTAATTCAAAATTACATATATAAATATATAAAATGGAAGGATGAAGTAAGTATATATTATTATTATATACATTGAATTCTAAGAAAATCTCGTACCATATCATATCAGTTGGCTCTTTTTGTGGCCAAAGCAACAAGAAAATCTCTATAATCTTCACGACAAATTCTCTCACATATTGCTTCTTTTACCTGAATTCCATACTTCCCTTCGAAAGCCCTTTGAATTTCATCCAAATCTACCTCAGCTCTGCCCAACAGTACTCTCTCCAATCCTCCCCTATCACTTTCTCCACCCTTTATGCTTTTGTACAACACCTGATTCATTAAACCATTCTTTTTTCATACGAAAGCTTTTCAAAACTAAAATTAACTCAAATATATTATTGTATATTTCTGAACCTTGGCATAATACTTTGGAGGATTAAAGATACACTTGACTACGGTGCGGAGCGAGCTCTCGAATTCTCCCCAATTTCGCATTTGAAGTGCCTGCAAAAACATAGATCACTTGTGGTTATAGATTGAATGAGATTTAACTTTTCGGATAAAGTTTATACATAAAATTTTGTTACCTTTGTAAAGTCATGTCCAAAGATGTGTTGGTAGCAAGAAAAAGTAAGTTTTAGCTGTGGAATGCTTCTTTTCGTGAGCATTTCAAGAACAACAGCTTCTTCTATGGCTCCTGAGCTGTCTTTTACTGTTTCATAAAGCCTTCTAGCATCACACTTTGCAATATGTTGGCTAATATCTGCATTATGGGCTTCGTGTGAGGCAGCCAACGCTACAAGAATCTGTTGAAAATTTTAAGTTTTTGTGGCATCAAAATCAGCATATAAATAATAAAAAGAAGTTTGAACTTTTTTTTTTCTTTTGGCCACCTTTACCTTTTGGTATGAGTGGGGAGGGTCTATGTTGATGATATCTTGGTCCAATTGCCTTTTGAATCTTGCCTTGTAAGATTGTTTAATGAGGAATATCTGGCTGGATTTTCTCCCCACAAATATTTCAATAAGAGCCTTGAAATCGGCTCCTCCCGGTTCGAGTGCTTCTCGAGCGACGACAGCATCCCGATCGTGAGGATCAAGCATCCACAAGGACAAGGCTCTATCAACTGTCCCTAGTCTTTCTACCAACTCTTCACCATAGATTGCCTTGTAAATCCCCCTCATTTGCTGTCTCTCCATCGAGTTTCGACCAGCAAGAACTCGAACCAGCCTACTACTCTTCGGACCCCAAGAATCATGAATGTCTCTACAGTCATTTTCGAGAGCGGCATCGGCGGACATGTTATGGATTTTGGTAGCCATAGCAAGCTCTGGTTATGTTGCAAAATACAACCATTGAGAATACATATATAAAGGGAAAAGTAAAGCAAGAGGGGGATAGTGGCATAAAAGAAAAGTCAGAGTTTGCTTTCTTATGTGTACCATGGAATTGCATTGTGTATGTGTTGCCTTACAAAGCACAAAAGAAGGAAGTTTCTGTGCCTTTTCTTATGTGTTCAGAAGAAAGGTGATGAGGACAGGTTGTATTCAAACTTTGTGGCATGTGAATGAGCTTTGTTTTTTAGCAAATGGTTTGTTGGGTTTCCTTGTAGACAATGAGTATGAATGCAACTCTTTTGTGACATCTTTTTTCCAATCTCCACTTTCCAACCCCCTTTCCACATTTTTTCTTCTTCTACCTAAAATCCATTTCTTTTTCAAAATCAAAAGGTTTGCATATTTAAGGCAGGATGAGAGGGAAAACCAACCACAAAATTAATATTATTCTATGCAAAGCTTGCATGGGAAGAATACAAAATGTTACCCATTCAAGTAGACTGAATCAAAGTCTTTTGGATTTTGCATCAATTCCATGTGAGAAATTATGAGAAATTGGAACTGGTTTTTTATTTTTTATGATTTGTTGCTCCATTTTATTTTTTTTATTTAAAAATATAATTTTCAATTGAAAAATATAAATTTTTTAGGTTATTTGCTCGATGCTCAATAGAAATTGACCCAATTTCTAAAAATAAAGTTTTCTGACCCGGTGGACTTAAACCCGGATTTTTTGAAACTTTGTAGGTATTATTGAAACCAATAGAAAAAAACGGGTGATTTTCAAATTATTTGGGGAAATAGGGTGTTGCGTCCTTCAAGAAGGCACATTTGATTGTCGTAATTCAAATGCGTCTCTTGAAAAGACACATCCATCACACCATTCCAAACTGTCAAACGGATTCGAACGGTGTTCCACGGGAACTAACAGTACGTTGAACATCCCATGGAACGCCGTTCAACGGACATTGCTACTTTTTTTTTGAATTAATTGTTTTATCAATTAACGGCGTTCCACATCTATTCAACTACTTTTTGTTTTGAATTAAATGTTTTATCAATTTATATTATTATCGATACTTTGTGAGTATTTTAGGCTAAGATTTTATTATTTTATATTAATAAATAGTCAAAATTTAATGACTAGAAGAGATTTTCTTTTTCAAATAAAGCTTTTATTCTTTTATATCATGTATTTCATATTTTTTTAGTTTAATAATTAAAATTTTTTATAATAAAATCTAAAGTCAAATTTCATAACGTATCTGAATTTTTAAATTTTCTATTAAATATACATCATAGATACAAACATCAAAATTCATAAAAATAATTACATAGTTAAAATTGAAAATACATGTCTAGAAAATTCATTGATTACAATAAAACAAACCTCAAAATTCTTAGACAAAAATTAAGACTTAACATAATTCCTATTCTTGTTCATTTGGATCATCATTGAGGATATTAGCTCTTTTTCGTTGTCGTCTTCTCCTATGATCTGGTATGGCTCTTTCAAATTGCATCGATCGATATATTTCGGTAACATTAGATAAATATATTCTACCGCTATCAGTCATATTGGGCATGATATTCTGGAAAAATGATCAAAACAAGTTTAATACTGATAAATAACGTGATATAAAAAACTATTATTGTGTTAATTATTGTTGACGCAGAAATTGACCTCCTAGGATTCCGTCAAATCCGCACCAATCTTCTGGAGTAAAAGAGATCAACGAGACCTGCAAAATAGAAGAGCACTAAACATCGATCGATGTGGCTCTTAAAATAAACAAGTCAGAGAACGTTGGGCGTTACACATTTTCTTTTATTCGATAGTAACAATTCATTTTTTTTAATCCTGAAAACTACACACGGGCAATTAAAATACTCACTTTACATATAGTTCGACGTTGGCTGTACTAATCAACACATGTTGATGTGCTATTCAAAGTACATTATTTGATTACGTAATTTTGGATTTGGATGACGATATACGATATCCTTCAAGAATGACACCACGATAATTGAACTCCTCGTTGCAACATTCTTTGGTGTCAAGTCCCATTATGTCTTGGACACATCAATTCTTATAAAAATTAACACTTTATCAACTAGATAACTCTCGACAATGCATCCTTCTAGATGTGATTTATTCTTAACAAACCCTTTTGACATCTTCATATATCTAAAACTATCATTAAGTTGTAAAATACTTAAGATTTCCTACTCATGGTCACTTAGAGCATAGAGCATGATAAATAACATACATTTCAAATTTATACATCAACTGAAATTCAACTGGTCCACCTAAGTGAACTCAACACCAAATGAACAACCAAATGTATCAGGATGGAGAAAGGAGGAAAAAACTTCTCGAAAAAGCACAATGCATCAATTACATATTTTTTTTTGAAATTTAACCTATTTTATCTATCAATTACACATTGAGAAATTTTATTGAAAATTTGACATAGTCATGATATTGAATGCCTTGAATCTTTTGGAAGTATTCATTTGAGGACAACAGGTAAAAAGTTGCTGCATTATCACAAGATAATTACAAAGCTTCAATCCCATTATCTTACATTTCTCTCATGAAACATAATAAATATTTAAACTATATCCATCAGATAGCTTCCACTCAAATAATCTCTTGCAAATTACTTTTTTTCTCAAATATAACAAATTATATATAGTTGGAGGGAGGTAAATTAACTCCTACACTCTTCTAGATGTAAGTAAGGTTATATATTTATATGTGGTAAATCGTCCATCTTTTCACGTTCCATTAATATCTAACAATGTGCTTATAATTCTCTCACATACATTACTCTTGACAAGCATTACCACCAGACAATATATGTACTCGAGCCAATTCAAATGGACGATGGTGGAAAAACATGTGGGCGTTCCAATATGCTAGCTCAAAGAAAATTTTTTCTTTCATTTTTTTCTTCTCAAATTTTCCACGACAATTTACAAAATCTTTAGTTTGGCATAAATTGTATTTTTATTTACCATTATAGGAGGTTGCTATACTCTTCAAAATTTTCATCAAACTATGACTTCTTCCTCCTAAATTAATGAGATGGAAGTAAAAATAGGACATGTAGTTTTGTGGTACAACTATTTAGCGTACCCATATAAGCTAATTTCTTCTTGTGTTACAACGATTTAGCGTGTATATACACCCTACAAATAGGACATGTAGTTTTGTTCTTCATTGTGCAACCAACAAAATTTCCATATGCAGGAAAATCATTGATAGTTTACAAAAGCATAACTCTCATATTTAAATTTGATTTGTTTACAACATCATAAACTTTCACTACATTACATAGCCCAACAAGTTATCAGTTAATGATTCAAAATAAACATCAATGTTGTTACTAGGTTGTTTGGGACCAGGAATCAATAATTTCAACATTATGTTTTCTTTTGTCATACATGACCAAGGAGGTACGTTGTATGTCACAGTAATTACTGACTAACAACTGTATCTACTACTAAGTTAGAAAACTTGGTTAAAACCATATGTAGCAAGACCAAATCTTAAGTTACGTTAATCACTAGAAAAGTATGGCTAGTCTACATCAATTGACTCATATAACACAATCAACTAGATGATGTATGTTTCCATCTTTGCTTTTATAGTTTATATGCAACTATAGTGATTCAGTTACCTCATGCATCTGGAACATTCGTTTAATGCTTAGGATGTTGAAAGTATCTCATAACTTTAGTAGAAACATCTTGTTTCATTTACTAATGTGTCTATCCATCTTCCACTGAGGTGCGAACAAATTGGACAACTCTCCAAATCTTTGTTCTCCTCAATAAATAAACAAAAATCATTTACACAAGAATGAATCTTTTCATGTCTTAAATGAAATACTTTTAAGAACTTCATTACTTCATAGATAGATCTTGGGACAACATTATCAAGTGATAGCATGTATATAAGATCTATAAATGACTTGTGAAACACTTATTAGTCTAACCAAAAGTAGCCTTAATCTTAAAATAAAAATAAAACAAGTGAAATTTTGTATATTACATACAAGATGGATACAAAAAGTGTTTGCATTTCATAACCTACTAAGTGACATCATAGTTCGTTTGAGGTTTAGAAATTTGTTCCTCACCCATGTACAATGTGTTACAAAATGTTAGACCATAAAAAATATATTGACATCCAATTGTAGGTACTTCTTCACCGTGATGATATCGTATGTGATAAGTCAAATTTCATACCTTTAATAACCAAACGTCCATACACAATATCAAAGTTTGATGCTTCATGTTCGTACACTTCTTTCGTTGACAAAAAAATTTTGGTTATCCCAATTGACCTACTCTCCATTTGTTTAACAAAGTTCCATGTGCCTTGAAAATATTCTTGAGTGGCTTTAAAATAAAATAAAATTAATAATATAACTATTTTTATTAAGCTATTATTAAGTTTATATGCTTTTCAAATGAACCCAATATTTATCAAATATTGTTCTCGAAACAAGTCCTAAATCCATACACTGTTTAATTCCTTAATTAGTTTACTAACAATAATATCAACTAAAACTATAGTTTTTTGTATTAAAAAAAACTAATGGAGTATTGAATTTATATTTAAAGATCTTTGTTAAACTTGAATCGCAATCTCGTTCTTTGAATTTAAATATTGTCATAAAAATGAGTGAATTTTATGAACTTCATTTATAAGCATGTAAAATTAAGAATTTCATAATTTTAATAATGAATAAAGTGTACTAAAACATATAGATTCAATCTTAAGTTTGGTGGAGATTCGATATTTCAACATTTTAGTTAAAAATATATATTTTAACTTGAACTATAGTTAGGTACTCTGAACCAAATACTTCACAGTAATAGAGAAAATCCATAAAAGCTAATAATATATAATATCAATTAACATCTATATAAACAAAATTAAAATTTTCATAGTTACACATATATTCAATTTTTAACTTACTGAAACTTAAATCATAA